AAATTTGATTAATTGATCAATTAAAAAATAAAAATATTTTTTGTTTTTGTAATTTCTTTTTTTTTCGTAGGGTTGGGTGTTCTTCAAAAACACCTTGAAGATATTATTTTTTGTTGTTATTGTATGATTTTCAATTTGTTATTAATTTTTGCTGTTATTTAATTTGTTTGTCGTTTCGAACTTTAGGGTTTGCGTTGATAACACTAATCGGTTTTTGCTTTTCGAAATTATTATTCTTTTTATTTTTTTTAATATTTCTTTCTCTCTTTGAAGCAATGAATTATAGAAAAACGTCAGAGATAATTAACGATGACGTCCACTGTCACACCAAAAAAAAAGAAAAAAAATTGATAATTTTTTCAATAATTTTTAAAATGCACTTATCTCGGATCGTAAAACAATATTCAATTTGCTTAATGTTTGAAAACAAATTTTGTGATAAATTTTAAATAAAAAATTATAAATATTATTAATTTGCCTTAAATAGTTCGGAATTTGTTTGAAAATGTTTAAAAATCCAACAAAAATCCATTTACAAGGCTTTAATTTCCAATACAGGAAGCATCCCAAAAGATTGTAAAATAATATCTCCCAAATTGAATTTGGTCCTTCGATTTGAATTATTAAATGTTTCTCAAAGTATTTGAAATATATAATCCGCCGCCCTTCGTTCTTCGGCAAGACTCCAAAAGTATTCCAACGGGAGATAGAAATTCCAACGTATTTGGTCCTTCGACCTATACCAGTAAATCCAAAGTTTGAACAGGGTTTCTATTGACAATGGAAAAAAATAGACCACATGTTTCTTTGGATCAGATACGTTTAGTGTAAGTTTTTAAATGGTCCTTCGATGGCAGCAAAAGTCAACAGATGGTCCTTCGATGTCAGTTATAGTTTTCAAATGGCCCTTCCACTTCAAATTAATATCATCAAATTGTCATTCAATTGCAGTAAAATAGAAAAAAGATCTTTGATTGAAGTTGGAGTTAAAGTCAACCAGTGACCCTTCCACTTTATGTAAGTACTAGAATGGTCGTATGCCTAAATTCAATTGAAACCTCCCAAAAGATTGTAAAGTAATATCTGCCAAATTGAATTTGGTCCTTCGATTTGAATTTTTGAATGTTCCTCCATGTAGAATATCTTTGGAATATATTATCCACCGCCCTTCGTTCTTCGGAAAGACTCCAAAAGAATTACAACGTATTTGGTCCTTCGACAGTAAATCCGAAGTTTGAACAGGGCTTCTCTATTGACAATGCAAAAAATAAACCACATGTTTCTTTGGACCAGATCCGTTTTGGACAATTTGTAGTCGATATATATATACCCGTCCGTTTGGCTGCTTTACCAACTAGTGCGTACAATAACTCTTGAAGGAAGTTACCGATTTCATCCCAACTTTGTTCTTCACCTTTCAGTGTAAGTTTGGTTAATGGTCCATCGATTGCAGCAAAAGTCAACAGATGGTCCTTCGACGTCAGTTATAGTTTTCATGATATTAGTTGCCACTTTAAACTAATATCACCAAATTGTCATTCAAAAAAGATCTTTGATTGAAGTTGAAAGCCTAAAAGTCAACCAATGACCATATTTGGTCCTTCGACCTATACCAGTATTTGGTCCTTCGACCTATACCAGTACATCCGAAGTTTGAACAGGGCTTCTCTATTGACAATGCAAAAAATAAACCACATGTTTCTTTGGACCAGATACGTATAGGGCAATTTGTAGTCGATATATAAACACCCGTCCGTTTGGTTGGCTGACTGGCTAGTGCGCACGATAACTCTTGAAGGAAGTTACCGATTTCATCCCAACTTGGTTCTTCACATTTCAGTGTATGTTTTTAAATTGTCCTTCGATTGCAGCAAAAGTCAACAGATGATCCTTCGACGTCGGTTATACTTTTCAAATTGGTCCTTCGACTTTAACTAAAGTCGTCAAATTGTCATTCAATCGCAGTTTTTAAATGGTCCCTCGATTGCAGCAAAAGTCAACAGATTCTCCTTCGACGTCAGTTATAGTTTTCAAATTGGTTCTTCGACTTTAACTAAATTATTATTCATTCGTAATAAAATATCTTAGATTCTTCGAAAAGTTGAAGGCCCAAATGTCAATCAGTGACCTTTTCACTTTATGTAAGTACTCGAATATTCAATAGATTTAAATCGCTCTTCAATTTCGGAAAAATTGATCAATTATGTTTCGATTGCAGTAATATCGACAAAATATCGACCTTCACCTTTTGTTATAAGCCTTCATATGGTCCTTCGATTGCAGCAAAAGTCAAAAGATGACCATTTGACTTAATTAAACTGTCTTAAATGACCCTTTGATTGCAGTAATATCCTACATATTGACCTTCACATTTTGATATAATTATTCAAAGCGGTCCTTCGATTGCGGCAAAAGACAAAATATGGCCATTGGACTTAATTAAAATATTGTAAATTACCCTTTGACGTCAGTTATTGGTTTCGAATGGTCCTTCGACTTTAACTAATGTCATCAAATTGTCATTCGATTGTTGTAAACGTTAATACTTAATTGGTCATTTGACTTGATACAAATACCCCAAATGGTCCTTCGACAGCAGTAATATCCCATATATGAGACTTCACCTTTCAGTATACGTCTTTGAATAATATTTAGATTGCAAGTCAACAGATGGTCCATCGACATCAGTTATAGGTTTTAAATGGTCCTTCGACTTGAACTAATTTCATCAAATTGTAATTCAACGGCAGTAAAATAGGAAAAATGATAATTTAAGTGTCTTTAATACAAAATTGGGCATTTGACGTGATCCAAATAAATCAAATGGTACTTCGACTAATCTTCCATAACTTCTCCAACTGAGAGCACATAGTTTCCTTCTTTAACAAAAAATGAAAAAATATCAATGATGCTTGGACAGCAGAGCATTCATATTCAACAAATAGTTCTTCACCTTTCAGTATAGGCTAATAATTGATCCTTCGATTTAATAAAAATATCTTAAATGGTCCTTCGATCTCAGCTATAGAGTTCAAATGGTCCTTCGACTTTAATTAAAGTTATCAAGTTGTCATTCGATTGCAATAAATCCATTAACAAGGCTTTAATTTTCGATAAAGGAACCCACCTAAAAGATTGTAAAATAATATCTCTCAAATTGAATTTGGTCCTTCGATTTTAATTATTGAATGTTTCTCGAAGTAGAATAACTATGGAATATATATCATCCGCCGCCCTTATATTGCATAAATAAATTAATGGAAGTTCTTCGAAAAACTCCAATAGTATTCCATCGAGAGATACGACATTTTGACAATGGAAATTCCAACGTATTTGGTCCTTCGACCTAGAAGCATTGTTCAACCTTCCGATTTATTGGTATAAGTCGAAGGACCAAATATGGTTCTTCACCTTTCATTATACAACTAGTAGAATAATCTCTGCTGGGCTTCTATTTCGAATGTAGCACCACTTCTTCAAAATATGAGGGGAATGCTTCCTAAAAGATTATAGAATAATATTTTCCTATTGAATTTTGTCCTTCGATCTGAATTATTGAAATTTGGAATTTAGAGAAAGGTAGCATACCATCCGCAGATATATTATTGTCAAAATATCTCCATTGAAGTTTTACAGCTGGTATCTTAAGGTATTATATGGTCTGTAAAACCTTTTTTAAATTGGAAATTGAAACATATTTGGTCCATCGACCTATAACAAAAAGTCTAAATAATTTAATGGAAGTTCTTCAAAAAAAATATTCGTTTTATACCCCCATGATTCTTTGGACCAAATTCGTTTCAGACAATTTGGAAACGATTTACAAATGTCCGTCCGTCCGTCTGTCTGGCTGGCAGGTGTGCACGATTACTTTCGAAGAAAGTAACCGATTTCACCCAAACTTTGAACATCCTAATCCTAACAATTTAGTCAAATTTTTGCAAAAAATTAATTTTATAATATCATGCGAACGGACTCTCCTCTCCGATTTGAACCAAACTTTGTACAACCTATTAAGCCTAGATAAAATCCCAATATGGGATACATAGGTCCACTCCTTCTGGTGTCTTCCTGACAAATGGTCAACATATTCAATATTTTCTATTGAATGGTCTAGCTTTCTTTGCACAACCTATTATCTTTACTAAGCCTCGATCTAGTCTGGAGGTGGGACCAATCAATATTAGGCAAATGTAATATCCGATTTCAACCAAACTTTGCACGGTCTGTTATCTTTATTAAATCTAGATGAAGGCCGAATGTGGGACCCGTCGGCTTTCCTTCTAGTAACTCCCACACAAATGATCACCATTTTCAATATTTTCTAAATCCAATATCGGGCGTATGGAATGTCCGAATTGAACCCTTCACACAGCCTATTGACCCACAAAGGGTCAATATTTTATAAACTTATAAATTTTATTTGCATCGAATTGACTAACCGATTTGATTGATTGAACATTAAATCAGAAATCTCTTTTTTTATATAAAGCGAACCATAAATGCGGTGTGTAATTGTGAAGACCCTTGGAGGCCTTGGAATAAAAAATTAAAAATAGTTTATTTAGTATTTTTATTTTTTTAATAAACTATTATTTATTTTCATTTTAGAATTTTTAATATACATTTCTTTTTAAATTTTTTAGTTAAGTCGTATCGTATTTTTATTATTTTTTATATTTTACTATTTACATGTAGTATTTTTAATTTTAAATTAATATTTTATTTATTTTTTGTTTTGTTATTTTTATTTATTAATTATAATTTTTTTCACTATTTTTTTATTTACTATATTATATATAGTATTTCTATTTTTTTAATTTCATATTATTTACCTACTCTTTTTAATTTGGTATTTATAAATAATTTTTTTTTTCACATTTGGGACATAATTATTTTTTTATAAATATTGAAACACATTTAATTTTTCCTTCATTTATTGCCTTTTCATTTAGCCTTTATCGTAATTTCATTAATTTGTCATTTATTCTAATCTCCCTACCCGCTAGCAATGAAAATTCCAATTAACTAAATTTCGTCAGTCTTGTACTAGTTATAAGCCGTACTAGTACCAAATGTGTCCCCAAGTAATGCGAATGGAACCAATTGACACCTTTTCGTCCCCAAGTAAACGAAGAGGCGACAGTTGTGCATAAATAAAAAACCACCACCAAAAAACCAACCAACAGACAAGTTAAACGAACATTTGAATGAGATCTCTACGAACAAGAATCACTTTGAATAGTTTTTTGTTTAGATGATCAACAAAAAACAATGAACAGTTATTCTTGAGGAATGCACGTGCGTTTTGTTTGGAAAAAATCATTCTTATTTTGATCGTTGTAAAGTGAAGTTGCATTGTGAAAATTGTGTTAATATAAAGTGATTAAAATAACAAATAAAAAGGTAAGAATGAGTAGCAAAAGACAATTTAGACGTAGAGTAAAGAAAGAAAAGGAATCTTTGATTAAAAAAATTGATAATGTTGTCTCAGAGGTAACCCCACATAATTATTCTATTGAGGAACCTTCAGAAAATATCAGACCAATATCTCCACATATTTTAGTGGAAGAAGAAGACTTTAACCAAGCCGGGCAATTAAATTTAAAATTTGAGCAATGGTTTAAAAAACACAGACCGTCTAGAAATTGTGTGCAAGATCTAGTTTCAATTTTAAGAGAAGAAGGTGTTAGTATCTCTTTCAACCCTAATTTTTATTGTCCATCAAGGCCTTTAATAGAAAGTATTGCAGGTGGAACTTATATTCATATCGGGGTTAGATCACAGCTTTTAAAACTTTCTAATTGTATTTCTTTGCCTCAAAATATAACCATTGATGTGAATATAGACGGGCTTCCACTTTTTAAAAGCTCAAAAACTCAAATTTAGCCGATCTTAGTTAAAACTACAAATACACCTAAATGTTATGTTTTACCGGTTGGAGTTTTTTTAGGCAAAACTAAACCACAAGACCTGGACACATATTTACGTCAATTTCAAGAAGAAATGGCACATTCTACAGAATATGGTCTAGAAATTGGAGGTCTCACATACACTATAAATATTCGTGCTATAATTTGTGATGCTCCTGCAAGAGCTTTTATAACCGGTGTCCCGTCTCATACATCACGATACGGTTGTGCAAAATGTACACAGGTTGGAAAAAAAATAAACGGGACATTAACATACAGCTCAATATGCGATGTTATAATCAGTGATGAAGATTTCGCTTCTAGAAAATATACAAACTTTCACCAAACAAAATACCTTTCAAGAAATTCCCCTCTTGAGAGTATTGGTGTAAAAATGGTTACACAAGTTATATTAGATGTTATGCACCTAATAGATTTAGGTGTTGTGAGAAAATTCCTTATAAGACTTATAAATAATAAAAGTAATATTAAAATTTCCAAGGAAGCCATTTCGAACATATCCGAGTCCTTGTCTAATATTCGAAAATATAGCATTAAAGAGTTCTGTCGTAAACCCAGATCATTGGACGAATTATCGAATTGGAAGGCAACTGAATTTCGGCAATTTAGTTTATATAACGGAATTATTGTCTTAAAGAATGTCGTACACGAAGATGTGTATTATATTTTTTTATTATTACATTGTTCGTATAGAATAATTTGTTGTTCAAAACAAAGACCGATAAATCTGGAAACTGCTCAAAATATGCTTAATATATTTGTTGAAAACTTTGCTATAGTATTTGGTGAAAATAGTATTTCATATAATGTTCATTCCTTGCTACATTTGGAAAAATCTATTAATATAGTTGGAGATCCTACAAGTGGATCATCTTATCCTTTCGAGAACTACCTTCAAAAATTAAAGAAATATATAAAAAGTCCGAGGAACATTTTAGAACAAATTTATAGGTACTCTGTAGAAGAAACATTTGAACTAAATTCAGGAAATAGTACTCCAATTCTAAATGTAGAAAATAATAAATACATATTTAAAAATTGTACTCTAACTACACGTTTTCCAAACAATGCCGCCTACATAAGATCTTCTATTCCTATACAGATTGTAACGTTCCGCGATTGCCAAGAGGGGTTTTTATTGGGTCGCAGGTACACAAATCCACAAAGTTTTTTTAACGAACTCTGTGATTCATTAGACTTGGGTATAAGCGTAGTGGACTCAGAGCCATCGTGCCGCGAAGAACTCTTTCCCATAACCGATTTAGAGTGTAAATTAGTAGTTTTACCCTACAATAGCAAACTAGTTATACTGCCTTTATTGCACACCTGCCTTTGAAATTTCATTGTCAGTTCATGCAACTCCTTTTCTTTTTATTAATTGGATTGTTAAATTAATTTTTTGTTATTATATACATGAAATTCATTTTCTTTAGTTTTTATTTTAAAATGGAAGAAACACCCAGAAAAATTAAACGTTTCAGTTCAATTATAAACAATGGTAAGTAATTAATAATCTTAAATAATTTCCTAATTAATTCACTATTATTATTTTTCTATTTTGCAGATGGTCTCAATCAAAAGTGCAATTGCGAAACTTTTGTTAAAAAGATGGAAAATGTGGAAAATACTCAAAAAGTAATTCAAGGTAAAATTATGTCATTTTTCTTAGAATTGTTGCAAATTGTTAATTTGTTTCTTTGTTTTCACTATAGGTCAGATCAAGGTTTTAGCTGATGCATTAGCTGAATTGAAGGTGATGGTGCAAAAATTACTTCGATCTCAAAGTGATGAGATACCTTTAACGAATAGGTTTCCCATCAGCACTGAGAAAGATCTTATTGATATTAATAACGACATCACAAGTGAGAATAAAGATCTATATGTAAGTATTTTTAAATTCTTTTCTTAGTGAAGACAGATTATATACAAATATTTTGTTAATTTTCAGGTTAAGATTATATCATCCATTATAAAAAGAGAGGGAATATTGAAATCATTAAAAAATATTATAGGTTTAAAAATTACTTACGAATATAATATTGACGGAAATCATGGAAAAAAAAGTTTGAAGTCCTTAAGCAATATATATAACGTAATTTTAGGTAAGGTATATAAAAAAATATTACTATATTCTACATAATTGTATACATTAAACATTATTTTTTTGCAGATTCAATACCAGTTCAAGAAAATTCAGACACCCCTGAAACGCAACTGCGAAAAGCAATACAAGTACAAAAGAAACGATTTTTTAAACAAGTGAGTGCTGAGAGAAAAGCAGAATAGTTAATAAAATATTACCATTAACTTTATTTTATAAATATTGAATTTGTTTTGTTTTTATATTAACTATGTAAATATAGTTTTAAGAATCAGATAAACATGTGCCAATTTTTTGTGTTAAGTTTATATATATGTATTTATATGTATATATATTGAATTTAATTTATTTGTGTTTTTATATAGTAACGTATATTTGTATTCATTTATGTTTCAAATAAAAAATGTATTAAAACTAAAAATAATCATTTCACTAACAATAATTGGTACTGAACTAGTTCATTGGAAACTAGTTTAGAATCGGTCTGCTTATACTAGATAGGGGATAGTCAATTGACACTAGTACATGATTGTATACATAGAACTAGATAGGGGGTAGTCTGCTGACACTAGTATATGGCTGTATACTTGGAACTAGGTAGGGGTTAGTCTTTTGTCTCTGGTATATGACTGTAAACCTGGAACTAGTACAGTACCATCTACAGGTAATGCAAAAGGAGTCAATTGGTTACCTCGTATGACATCCCCATGTTAAAGTTTACAGTTGTTTGCACTGTGAGGGGTCTTAAGTGGAACTAGTTACTGTAACCCTAAGAATCGACGAGTATACGGTGCCGAACTAGTCCACATTGCTAGCGGGTAATATCACAAATCTCCCAATTACATCTGTCAGAGACAAGGAGATAGAGAGACCGTATGATTTGCCTTTTAGCAAAACAATGTCTATTTATTAATAATTTTTCAAACATTTTAAGGGCTAATTATTATTATAATTTAAATATAATATATTTTTAATATCTTCATTTATTCTCTTTTCATTTAATTTTATCACTTTTTAATACATTTTTCATTTATTTTTAACCATCACAAAGTCCCCACTGAACTGAACTCTGCTCTCTCTCTCACTCTCCCTTTTGTGGGGTAAATGGAGTCTGTGTTGTGTTCGTTCTTGTTGTTATTGTGATCATTTGTTTTGTGCATGCATGCATAAAAGCAAAAATGCATGCTTGCCTGACTGACTGACTGGTTGTTTGGCTGCGTTATTGTGAATTGAAGTTATTGTCATTTGATTAATGTACGCTCTCTCGCTCTCACACACACACACACACTCTGTATTTATGCAATGGCACTCTGTTGTTATGGTAAACCAGGCTCGGGCAGAGAATAACAAATATGCGTTGCGTTGTCGATGTGTGTGTGTGTCAATGGGTTTTCAATTATTTCAATTAAATGTGCATGAGAGTATGCTGTTATTTACTTTCACGAGAGAGCACGCGTGCAAGGTTTTGCCTGATGTGGTGGTAAACAATAAACAGCTGATTGTTTCACAATGAAGCAAGAACTCTTAAGACAATTTAATAATAAAAGGATTCTTATTGGATTTTTTAAGGAAATAAAGCACTTTAATGATTTTTTATATTATTTAGATTATTTTAGAATGTTTTAAAGAGATTAATGTAACTAGTTAAGGTAAATTAACAATATTTGAATATGCATTTCACAATGAGGGATTTTAAAGGGGATTCTTATTGGATTTTTTTTTGTGAGGAAAACACTTTTATTATCAATAAAATTATTAAGCATATTTTAAAGAGTTTAAATAAACTAGTTAAGGCAATTTAATAATATTTTAATATTTATTTCAATTAAAAATAAATTTTAATGGGATTTTTTATTTTATTTATTTATTTAAGGAAATGTAACACTTTTGTGTGGGAATATTATAAAGAGATTATTCATTTAAATAAAATGGAAATATTTTATGGATTTTTATTGGATTTCATTTTTGAATAGGGAATACATCACGTTATTAAATATTGTTCGGAGTGTTTTAAATAGATTTTATAAAAATCACATAAAATTGAAATTTCAAAGGGAATTCATATTGGATTTTTTGGAAGAAATTAAAACACTTTTCACAACATCATATTTTGAAATTTGTTTATAAAAAAATTGAGATATTTTATGGATTTTTATTGATTATTATTATTTTTCTATTTTTTTTTTTTAAGGGAATAAATCGCTTTACGTCATATTTAATTTATTTGGAGTGTTTTAAAATGTTTTTATGAACATATTGATTATAAAAATAAAAAAAAATTGTTTTTGATTGAATAGGAATTTTAAAGGGTATTTTTATTGGATTTTTTTGGAAGGAATTAAAACACGTTTAAATTAAAATGTTTTAAAGTGATTAACAAAACTTAATGTTTATATTTTATATTTATATTTTATATATATATTTATATATTTTACGGATTTTTATTGGACTTTTTTGAAAGGGAATAAATCGAGTTAATGTCATTTGGGGTATTTCTAAGTGATTCTAAGCAATTATTGGTAAAATAAATCACAACATTTTGTTTTCAATTACATGGGAATTTTAAAGGCAATTATTATTTGGAAGGAATTACAAGGGAACAAGTTGAGTTTAGGGGCTCATCTCGGATTTTTCTGCCACAGGTAGGACTCTGTCTCGCTGATCATGAAAATATATGACTTTCATGGGGGAAGTCCATAATTCTCAAGATATGGACCTACGAATTTCCGAAATTGCTATGTTCATAACTACATTATTTATGAATCGATGAAGGATCGTCTTAATTAAAAATTATACAAAATAGCTGGGGGATTTAAGACTTTGTCTATGACCAGGCGGAAAATTCGGCTAACGCATCAAATTTTTTTTTAAACTGATATTTTTCTAAATAGCCGGTCTTCGGCCTGGTATTTAAGACTTTCTCCTATGGACAGGTGGAAAATTTGGCTACGCGATTAAAATTTCCTTTGTATCAACATTTTTTCGTATATAGCCGTCCTTCGGCCGGGGATTTAAGATTTTCTCCTATGGACAGATGGAAAATTCGGCTATGCGATTGAAATTGTTTTTAAATAAACATGTTTCTCTATATATCCGCCAATATTACCATATTCGGTCCATAAATATCGAAATTATGATCATATGAATTCCGGAAGTTCAGAGGTCCAGATCTAGGGAAACATTTCCCCTGTGAAAACGGATTTTTTTTTTTTTTTTTTTTTTGAGGGAAGATATTTGAAGTTTTTTAATATTTAATTTATTTGGGATATTTTTATCTTAAGCAAATAATGATCATAAAAATCAGGTCTCGGGAAAAATGTCCCCTATGAAATCGGATTTTTTTTTTTTTTTTTTTTTTGAGGAGGTATTTTTATTTTAAGCAAATAATGATCATAAAAATCACACAATTTTCTTGGTCCTTTGAGAATATAAAAATGACAGTTAATTTTTTTGTAAATTATTTTGTGTTGCTTATTTCATTATTATTATATCGTAATTATGCAATTTATTTATTGCTTTATTTGTTATTGAGCCACACTATTTTTTTTTTCTTTTTTTTTTTTTTTGCTGTTATGGAATTCTGATAAAAAACCCTTGAGTTGTGTTAATCAGACATTCGGTTCGTTCTTTTGACACATTCGTTGTTGTCGTTTTGTATTTCGATATTTGCTTTTGTTTTGTATTTTTTTTTAATTTGTCATCATCGTTGTTGACAAAAACCCGACAGACAGACAGACAGAGCACATACACAATTTCAATGACTAGGCTGTTGTTTTTGTTGTTAATGGTTTTGGTGGAATATTTTTTCCATATATTTTTTTATTTTATTTCTTTTTTTTTTTTTTGCCAACCACACATATCAATGGCAAAAACTAACACCACCCCATTAAACACATAGGCTGGCTGGCTGACAACAACAACACACACATAAATGTTGTTGTAGACAACAAACAATTACAATGGGGCATAGGGTTTTGATGAAGCCAGCTTTTTTTTTTGTTACACATAAACAAAGAATGAAATAAAAATTTCCATTATTTTCAATATTTTTCTTACACTTTTTCTTCTCCTCTTTTATTCAAATTTTCTTTTAAGGCTTTTATTTTTGCCACTCTCCCGGAGTGGGGGGCTGGGGCTTTTGCACGTTTTTTGATAACAACACCACACCACACGAAAATGGGAGAGAAACAACGACGAACGTAACACAAAACAAACGTTGTTGTAATAAACTCAACGAAACACCACCAACACTTGTTGATTCTCTGCTGTTGTTGTTATTTTCCGTTTTTCTTTCTTCCTTCTTTTATTATTATTTTTCTATTTATGTTTCACTTTTAGATGATTTGTTTTTTAAATGGCAAAAAACAAAAAAACGTAAACTCTTTTACGATATTCAAATTGATAAACACACGACGGACAAACGACGGACGTCGGACGACGATATTAGAAACACAACGGCGACGCGGATAAACAAAACAACGAACAAACGAATGACGGATGGATGGACGTAACGCGTACAAGAGCGGTTGTGGGTTAGCTGTTGCTGCTGTCAGCTGTTGTCGGCTGCTCTCTACATAAAGATCTCGTGACACCAAGAGAGCTCAGCAGAAAACAAAAGAAACTACAACTGGACAGACAGATACACTTTGTAATAATTAATTAAAATAATAATAACAACAATCGATCACGAATGCAAAGAAAAGAAGCAGAAGAACGAACACACAAACAAAAGTAAAACGAACGAACGGCACACGTCGTCTCAAAACGTTGATTTGCTTCAACAGTTAACGAAACACTAACTGCAATTTACCAATTCCAAAATGTTTTCCGCCGTTTTCTTACTTCGTTTCTTAGTGTGTCTGATATTGTTGTTGTAGTAATTATACAAAAAAAAAATGATTATTGTTGTTGCTGCTGTTGTTGTTGTTACTTTATCATCAGCAGACACGATACACTCACATACACAAAATATAAACAAAGCGAACGCATTCTCGCTCTCATTCTCTCTCTCTCGAAAGCCCATATACATGGGCAGGGATGGGAAGTTGAAAATTCATAAATAAAAGGAGTACAATTTAAGAGCGAAAAGGTACTTTTTTTTATTAAAAATGGAAATTTGGACGGAAAATTGTATTTTTTTAAAATCCAAAATAAGGAAATAAAGAAAAAAAATTAATTTGTATACACCTCCCTATTCTGAAATTTTTACAACATTAAATTTCCATAGGAAATCTATAACTCAGCCTGGCGAAATAACGCTTTCCGTAGAAAATCTAAAATTCAGCCAAGCCGAATTAATATTTTCATGGTAAATCTGCAATTCAGCTTAGCTGAATTAAC